ACAACTGACATACGCTAATAATGTGGTTAGTATCCAGCGTTCCCCTGCCACAATAATAACTTCCACTCAGTGAACGCTCGCTCCTGTATTATCGCTCTGGTATATTTGTTTAAATACTGTCTTCATATATTTATCTTAGATCATATCTCAGTCGTATATGTCTGAACAAACCTACTTGAATGTATCGTGGACATATATGGTATAAGATATAAGAATATAACATCTTCAGCGACGAGCCAGGCGATATAGCCAGGAGCAGACACCAAAGCAGCCTACAGACGCACTAGTGAGCAAAATATTACACCCGAGTAGAACTGCTCTCTGTATACGTATACATTACAACTACATCTATATATCCTTGCAGCGACGTAACATGCACCTTGGCTCGACACTGTAGACGTGACATGAGTCAAAGAATGTAGCATAGAATTGTAACTCCCACACACTGTCACACTTCTAGTAAATTTACGTATAGCCACAATCAGACACAACATATAGTGCTCCAGGTGGTTCATTATAGTAATTACACAATATTACAACAAATATTTTGAAATCAGTCTTTAATATGTAAAAGATGATAATCTGTGGGCCAGCTGTCAGTGGACTGAACAGAAACACAATAAAATAAATGTTTGAATAAGGTCTCAATGTGTGAGTTGTGAGCAGGATTTGAAACTGAGCGTAACATTTTACTGTTGAATTATCATTTTTCGGGTATTATGGTAATGACAACACTTTTCTAAAGAACCTCACATATATACAGTGCATCTGCTAATTCTCTACTGCAGTTTTGTTATGCATATATATCTGCCGTATTCATGGGGAATTTTGTTCCAAAAAAAAACAACCTACTTTCAAAAGAAAGGACAAGAATGAGAAATTTTGACAAACTCATGATTCTTATAACAAGTGAGGGCTTTGTGTTTTAGACATATTCAGTAATGAATTTCAAATAGTAATTTTTTATTTCATAAAATGGCGTGTATAGCACTTTGGAAATGAAGGAATTCTCTTTTGTATGTAGAGAATTGTAATGAACTCTATATATAATAATTCACCTCTTGCCCATTCATCTTATTTTTCTCTTCCTTGTGTTCTCTTATTCTCTCTCT